GATGGAAAACTACTGAGACAGTTTGAAATGTTAAAAGTTTTCTGGGAGTCTGTTACTAGCTGTAGTGGGAGGGGGGCAGGAAAGTGGGGTGAAGACAAAAATAAAACAAGTTGGTATTACAAGAAAAAACTACTGCTTGGCAAGTTTTTTTGGGTCAAACAAAGAGCTAGCTGTAGTTTACAGGATGACATAACACTTGATTAACTTTTGCCTGAGGATGTTTTCACACTTAGCAATGTAAACCAAAACCTCAGATAAATTACAGCATATATTAGAAGACTACCATAAGCATTTTCACGTATATACTCTAAAAGGTTTCTATTTTTTCTCCCCTCCTAAAAGACCAGCTGCTATTTCCTACAAAGCTCCACCAAAATGCTTAAACTTTACCAAAATTATCCAATCGCTTTAACAAAACCAAGCAGCATTTGTAAGAAATGCAGGACTCTCCTTGCATATTGAATTACTTCATAATATCCTTAGGGTAGAGAAACTTCATGGTTCTTAAAGGAAAACTGTATAAGGGACTTATTTTGACCTGCCTTGTGTTTCTGATAATACATAATATTTATGTGTGTGATTAAGACTGAAAAATGTCAGAATGGGCTCCAAGTTGGACGCTGCATCTCACTGTTTTCAGTCTGCTGGAAGGGGACAGATGTGCAGCATGCACTGCAGGTGCCCAGGGGCCACACAAGAGTCTGTCCCCAAAGCATGGCACAACCACCATGCAGGGCTGCAAAGCCCCATCGCCCACTGAGGTTCCCTTTCCACCACCTGATCCCCGCAGCATCCTGGCAGCCATGGCTTTAGAGCACGCTGCCCATTCGGCTATCTGAATTTGCAGAGATGAGTCCTGCCACGGACCCTGCCACCTGGGTCTGACCAGGACAGCTGGGCAGCCGAGGCTCTGGTGGCTCACGCCGTGAGCTACACCATGGTACAGCAGGGCATGGCACAGTCCAGCTCCTACGTGGCTCTGCAGCACCCAGACAGGCCGCAGCCCTCAGGGACGTACCCGCTGCCAGCCATAGCATCTTCCAACACAATGCATTTGGCCACCACACAGCTGAGGGGCAATGCTGCACACTGCTTCACACCAGGTGCCCCAGCCCTGCACATCTGTCTGTAGCTGCTGGACAGGGCTTGCTTCGGAGGAAACTGAGATGAAAGACAGCCAGGCTCTGAGGCGCAAAAAGGCCCCAACATGCAATTGCTCGCGTTTTATTTGGAACTTTTCGTATCTTGCAAAATAGCAAGTTGGTGGTGGTTTTTTTTTGTTTTTTTTTTTTTGTTTTTTTTTTTTTGAGGGGGTGGAGGTGTAATATTTATGAAAAATCCCTAACAGCAACGTCACTGGTGCTGCAGAAACACAGCCTATCGTTTACGCAGGGTAATTAAAGCTGATGATCATGTGTTCTGTGTAAAAGCGAAAGAAACCTCAACCCCTGCATGTGAAACCCACATCTGCATTAGGAGGGGAAGGCGGTGGGGAGCAGAGCGCTTCGCAGAAGAGCGGCCGTTTCTGAGGGCTTGCTGATAACAGAGAGATGGGGCACTGACAAGGGCTCACGCTCCTCAGGAAGGCCCAGGCCAACGCAGCTGACACAGACAGCAAGGGAACCGCCTGCACGAAGCACAAACAGTAATGACCAAAACAACAACAACTCCTCAGCTCTGCACAGCCCGAGCCACAGAGAGAGCAACAGCCCCACGATGGGAAAACATTAATGCTTTTTATATTGGTAATCATCTGTAACATGAGCAATTAAGTACAGTACTAATGGACTATAGCCAAGAGCCTGGTACTAATATTAAAAACTGACAGAGATGGATAGGTTTGGAAGGGAAACCAGGCTGACAAAGACATTTTATGAAGTGCTGGGGCCTACCTGAAACAACCCAATTGGAGGCAGGTTCAGACCAGCCATGCCTACAGTGACAATAACACATTCACTGGCATTACGTGATACCTGCTATGCTTTAAATAAAAACACCCATTACTTCTACTCAGCAACCTGCACTTTCATTATTACACTCATTAATAAAACAAAAGTTGTCTAACTAATGCACAAATAACACTTACTGAAACACTTACTACCTCGCCTTGTTTTAAAATGAAAACAGTTACTGGAAACACAAACCGTACTGCTTGAAATGAATCAGTTGATAAAGCATGCAGAATCTCCCCTCTGCAGGAGGAACAAGGCCATCACCTCCCCAAGCTGCCTGTCACCCAGGGCCCAGCAGCGGCAGGCGTTGCAGCCTCTCCTGCCATGATGTGTGCTGGGGAGCAGAGTGCTGCCTGCCCTCAGCCACACCAGCACTCCTATAGTTTGACTTGGTTTTAGTGCTTGCCACCTTGGTACAGTTTTTGACTCTTTTCCTCTCTTTTCTTTGAACCAGGTGCAGGGTGTGAAAACCCAGCCTGCAGTGGGGCGCTGGGAGGAGCGTCTGGGAGGCCACATGGGAGCCACGTGCATTATGCTCTTCAGTATCCTAATGCTGTCACTGGAAGGTCACTGCCATCGATACAGCCTTAGTATGCTCAAGGCAGTACAAACAGCTGGTAGCTTCTCCACTAACTTGAGAAAACCTAGTTACCACAGCATGGTGCCCTTGGCATCTAGTTGTGGAGACGGATGGCAGGGCTGATGCAAACAGCAGCACCAGCGACACCAGGGAGCTGCGTGTTCTGCCTCCAGTAAGAAAGGAAAGGCCACTGGGATCCAGAAAGGAAAAATCATGAGGTTTGTTCAACATTTACTTCCCAGCTTAATTCAATTTCCAGTTTAGCTTTACAGCTCACCTTCAAGTTAGAAAATGTATGTGCGTCCTGAATCATTAATGTGCATTCCTGCATTGCAGTTCTAGCTTTAGATTAAATGTCATCTGAGTGCTCTGGCTATAAATGAACATTACATTTACAGGTGCTGTAGTTAGAATTACCAGCTGAAACAAACCGTGACAATTTCATTTACTTTTTTTCTAAATCTGAGGCTCAATATAACTTTCCCATGGTAGAAAAAGAGGGTCTAACATCAGAAATCTAGAAATTGGATCAGTCACTGAGGTTTTTTCTATATGAGTTTTAGTTTTTCAGACCAGATTTGGTAAAGCATATCTTATGCCAGCTCAGAACTGATCTAAAAATTCTACAAGACCTTTTTTCAGCTGCCATCTTTTAACAGCCCTCCACAGAGACCTGAACAATAGGTCCTGCCTCATGTCAGAATTACGTCCTGGCTCTGGAACCCAAGGGCTCACATTTGAGCTCTTTGATGTCTTAAGACTCATCTGGACCATCAGCTAAAGCTGTCTCCTCCCTCAGACTCCTGGCAAGCAGAATTGTTTTTGGGTAGCTGGAAAGACTTAGATACCTTGAAGGCATGATGAATCTTCTCAGCTTTTCTAGTGAGCACAATAGATTGTGGTACTTTGTAGCATATCCCTAAGTAGCTGCTGACTAAGTCACAGGAAGGAGTCACTGCACATCAATGAGAAGAAGAGCACAATCCCAGGGTTTTGCATGTAAAATAATAAACCACTAGCATGAAAGTAGAAGAAAGAGAGCAGGGTTCATCATGTATTTGTGAATGGCTCATTTATTTTTCCATAGCTAGCGAGGAACTGTTCTCTCAGTGAATCTTGAATTTCAGCACTGAGCCCAGGAACACTTGCTCCCTGCATGCCCTGAACCCACGGAGCCTGAACTCTCAACATGCCTGGGTCTCTGACAAAAAAAAAACCAACAGGATTCTGCAAGGTACACCTGGCCAAGGAAAGCTCAGGCTGGCCAGCTTTAACCCAATCAGCTGGCCTGGGTGCAAGAGGAAGACCTGAGCCTCTTGGAGCTGTAATGAGGGAGGGGAAGAGCCGAGTCCAGACAATCTGATGAGTCAATTAGGGCAATCTGTAACATCTGTCAGCAACCCAATGGCAGAGGAAACCCCATCTGACATGTATAGCAACTCACACAATCTGCCCCACTGTTTGGCTCCAAATTCTGTTAAGGTGCATTAGATGGGACTTCTTGGTGCACCCAGGCCCTCATGCCACAGCTGCCACCTGTAAAGGACAGCAATGAGCTTTTTTCTCCATGGCGCGGGAAGCATTTCCCTCGGAGTGGCCATCACATAAAGCACAAAAAAAGGGTGAGAAAATACCCAACACATACAGCTCTGTGCACAGCAAGACCAGCCTTTTCCTGAGCTCAGCACCACAACTTGTTTACACTCTGGAACAAGAGATTGGACTTTCCTTATTTGAGCCTGAAATTGCAGAGATTGTACTAAAATTTTCTTGTCTACAGAAAAAAGAAAAAAAGAAAAAAGAAAAAAAGGGGTTGTTTCTAAAAATCTAAGTAAACCAAAACAACATTCCAGCTCCAGTATTTTATTCAGTGCATGCTGGCTTCACAAGCCCTGGAAGTTATTATCTACATGGGAAGAATAAGAAATCAACAGTTCTGACCAGCAACAATGGCTGCAGAGAAAGACTGTTTGGCAGCAGCTTGCAGGCAGGGAGGAGGGAAGGAATGCAGTGAAGAAGAGGAATGCAGTGCTCTGCATGACCTACAACATTAACAGCACCCTGCATTGTGGGCCGCCCCATTATTTTGATCACAACCACAATTTGCTTAATTGGTATTCCTAAAAACCGACAGAAGACAAGTGTCTGCATCAATTAGCTGTCATTTCTCATTTTTCCTTGAGTATGTTTTGCTCAATTTTTCAGATTCTTTACCCAGAAATCTGTTGTGAAAATTAAGATATGTACCAAAGAAAATGGATGCTTGTTTTATGTATTTAGTCACTGGAGACATATATTGTGGTTTAAATTACAATGGATTATCTGACTAAACTGTTGGGAGAAAATTTACTGTATCTTTAAGAAACCTCTCTCTCTCTCTCCTTCTCTAGTTCTTTATAAAATGCTTTGAAGGTTCTCCAAATTAATTTTTTCATTATTAAACAAGCATTTCAGATTCGTTATCTTACCTTTCATAATGTCTGCGAGTACATGTAGCAGCACTTGTGCTTCCAGGGTTACCACCTAATTCATCATAAATATGTTTCCATTGTCGACGAGCTGTTATCTGTAAAAATGGCAATGGAAAATTTAATCTTGCATCTTTACAGATTCTACAGCGTTTGAGTTCACAACAACAAATGCATGTGTGACACTTTCAGAACAGCATGTACTACAAGAACAATAAAAGCCCCTACAGAATATATAGAGCGCACAAAGCTCTGGGTGTTGGGTTTTTTGTTTTGGTAAGGTAACACTATGCCTATTTTCTCTCGCTCTAAAATGGAGAGATCTGACTGATTCATTATCAAGTCACAAGCAATCCAGCCTCACAAAAGAGAATCTCAATCAATATAGGGTCATTAACCATCAGAAGTTATGCAGACAAATCCCACGGTGAATTATGAAAATGAAGCTAGACCCGTACTCAGCACAAATAATGAAATAATGATTACGTAGTTATTTTAACTGAATTAGAGAAAATAAATCTGCTGCAAAACCCAAATCCACCACAGAATTCTGTAAATCCACAAAAGCATAGTCTGTAACTCTATAGGTTACAAGCTGTTTATTTTTATCCATTTATGTCAGTAAAATATATAGATCAAATAGTAGTGAAATCTTAACATACTCCAATCTTAATATTTGAGCTATGTATTTTATTGGACTACTCCGATGAAAATAAACATCTTGTAACATATTGAGTTGCATACCATGGCTCTGTTTTTTGTACAGAAATTAGGATTATACAGAATAACAGATGGAAGACCTGGCAAAAGAATTGTTTCTGAATACCACTTCATTATTTTATATATTCTGCTATATTTAAAACAGGAAGAAAAACAGGAATAGGACAAGCACAATAGATCACCCTCCTTTGCCTGCAGCTCATAAAGAAGGCCAGTGGAAAATTGTGGGGGCAATTTGGGGAGAATTTTGTCATTTTCTGTGGAATGCTGTGGATTTTAATATATTCAGCCCCGGAGGCTTCTTTGGAGTTACCCACAGAGTAGTCAATGGCATTTACTGAGGAGCTAAAGGCAGCAATCAGAAGAAAACAAATATTACAACTTGCAATCGGAGGCCTGTAATTTTAATCTAAACAAGAGGAGATAGCTACCATCATTAAATATTACAGGGTAAGAGGTATTTCTTTCTAGCTCTACATAAAAGGAAAATCCTTCCTTTGCTGAAATCATTCTCTGAAGCCAAAAGGCTGGCTGGAGACTTAGCATTTGGTATTAGAGTTCCTCCAAGTTCATTGCATGTGCAGTTCTCAGAAAACATCAGCACCAGCTCCAATTCACTACTAGTACTTAGTAGTGCAGATAAATTTGGCACAAATGAATTAATGAAATAAAACTAAACACTCGTCTGAAGAAAAAAGTTCATTTTGAATCTTTTTAAGTCCTTACAACATCTCTTCCCCAAGCTATCCACACTTCAGTCTATTATTTTTACTGAAGGGGTTGAGGAACAGGAATCATAATGAGCTGTAACTCCTGGGAATATTAAAGGATGCTTCTTCTGCAACCTGAAAGGTCAAAAAGCATTGGATCAAGTCCCAGGCTGTAAAGGAAAGCTTGGATGGAAAGCTACCTCTGGTCCTGCCTCCCAAACTTTTGTTATGGGTCGTCGGGACAGGCAGAAGAATAAGGCATGGCCAGAAAGCCCTTGCCTTTCGATAGCTTCCCAAAATCAAAGGTCCCCTGGGGGCTGTTGCAAGAGGCCTTTTATCAAATGTAAACCGGGCAGCCTAACAGGCTAAGGGAGCAAAAATGCTCAAAGCTACATTGTGAGCTATGCTATGCCCTCCTTGCAAGCCCAGCCCAGCTGGCTTGCGAGGCTTTGGGCCAGGACTTCGTCTCTGGCTAAGTACAGTGGGGCTGTGGAGGAATCTCTGAATGAAAGCAAAGGATTAGTCAGCAAGAGGATGACAACAAGTCCCCTTTTTAAACATGCCCATGCTACTACAAAGCACAGTGTCCATTTTCAAAAGGAACATAGCAGCCTTAGAACCAAAGTCTCATTAACTATGAGCTGAATCCAAAGTTGATACTCAAAGAACAATAGCAAACACAACTTTCCTTAAGGTGAAAGGGGAATCCCTCTGAAGTCACTGGACCTTTATTGGTGTCCATCTCCTCTCGGCTGTTAAAAATAATAGTATTTACACAAACATTTGCCCAGCTTTATCCAATTCCGCCTCTGCAGAGGATCAGAACTGCTTCGCAATTAGCAGAGTTGTGCCCTCCTACGTATAAATTTGACATTCCCTGAAATAAATGTTATTCTAACCAAGCCTGTAGATGAGTTTTCCCCTGCTCTGGAAAGTTTAGTTTTTATGCTTAATAAACTTCAAAGGACTAAAGTAAGTGATAAATTGCATCCTTAAACAATCTGAACAAAATGCAGTGTTGTGGAACCTCACAACTGCCATGCAGGGCAGCACTACTCAAGCTGGATGCTCATGCTGGCCACGTTCAAATTAAGGACTGCTTGCTCTTCTCACTGAAGTCTCTCCCACCCACCTTCTGTAATGATGAACTTCTTGAGGAGTCAGGAAAGGACAGTGGCAATGCTTTGCTTATGGTTACTGTTTGTACCAAAATACCTGCCTTGGTTGCTTTTACATAGTGGTTTTATACTCAGAACTGGTTCATATGTGGTCCTTGTTAGTAACGTGCCCATGACTGGGGCACATGAGAAACAGAAAGGTAGGTAACAGAAAAGTGCAAAAACATTAAAATATTTTAGTTGGCTGAGCAGGGAATTTCCTGTAAACACATTCACAAGTGTCATTTTAAGGGGCATGGAGTAAAGTAAGACAACTAACATTATGCAAAAGCTTTAACAACTATTTCTTAAGCACTTTCATTTCACACTTCTAGTAAATTCACTTTCAGTTTCTTGACTTCAGTTGACCTGCTACAGTAGACAATGTACAGAGAACAAAGTTCTTCACTGCTTTAGTTCTCCAATTTGTTTTTCTCTGCTCCCACCAGTATATACATCTCTCTTAGTGTCTGCCACAATTCTAAGAGCACAGGATGCTCCAGGCTCATCTACCAATCAAGGAAATTGCGAAGGCCAGCCTTATCTCTGACAGCTTTCCTCCCCAATGCTGGCTTCAGTTTTATATACAGTGGTCTTCTGGTTTGCAGACCCTTCCCACAGTTTGCTCCCACCTATAGCTCCAGAGTCCTAGACCATGGCCACTGGGATTCAGGGGCGTTGAAAACCTGCATGTCATCTTTCCCTGTTAGCAGAATCTGGAGTTAAGCAAGAGACTGCTCAGTCCAGGGACCTGAGAGCAGATTCAGATCTTGTTCCTGTAAGCACAGTATTAGGCAGTGACTGGTACTCAATAGCAACCAAATTAAAGCAATGATCTTATCTATTAAAGTAGAGGACTGTTTATACAAATGCTTTTAATGGCATCTTCTGCTTTGAGGAATGTATGATTTCTCCATTGCCAATGCCAGCTTCTTGCTCCAAATTGAATGGGGGATTTTCTGGTCATGGTACATGATCTTCGTGAGGCTCTTCAAAACAGAGCTCTGGCAATTTTTTGCATTCCACTGAAATATCAGTTCCTTTGGGCCTGTCCAGACACAGAATTTTTGTATGCATCAATCATTAATTTCTAAAAACTAAAGTAATTTATTGTTGCTTCCAGAAGGCAGCAACTAAATGGGATCCCACTGACCTTCAGTGAAACTTAAGGGTTAAGATCCACCCGATTTTCTTTTTACCCTTTATCTTTCTAAGACATCTGCAGGTTAAGCCCATTCAGCACGACAGTCTTTTACAATATGCCAAGGCATTCCTCCTATGTTGGCTCAGAAGGAAAGAAGCCACCTCAAGACTTGCCAAAGACAACTCTTGAAATAATTCCTGGAAGTTTCCCATCTCTGAACATCTGCATCTTTTACTCTCTTGACTTAGGGTGACTGACAAAATTGCAGTCCATGGATGTTAAACGCGACTGCAGCTGAGCCCCCTGGAATGTGACTTTTCTTCCAAGGATTTGGGGACATTTTAAATCATTCATACTGTGAGTGCTTGCTGTAGAGAGTGCTTTCCAATGCACTCTCTTACTACGAGCAATAAAGATGCTTATTTCATCTACTTTACTGGAGAGAAACATGATCCCACCAATTCAAAAGAGACAGTTTTGTCTGTAAAGAGGTTAGACCAATTTGCACGGGATCCTAATTTTATTAAGGCTGTACTATGTCCAATCAGAAATACATGGGAGTGTGGTATTACACTGCTACGGAGGACAACGAAGAATTAGCAACCGAACAGATAATGGAGAAATAAGAAATGATTCTCACAAGCAGTCTAACTGGAGAACCATTAAATAAAAACATAGGACACACAATGATGACTTGACACTACTAAATATTCTGTATGTACAGCTAATAGTCTCTGCTACCAGATTCATTCCAGTATCTGAAACATAAGGAAAGACAGACAGATAGTTTAGAAAGTTATTCTCTGCACTTCAAATGCAATCTCTGGCAAGTTTCATTCACTTTTAGATCCTTAAACAACAGGCCATACATTGTTCTGTGAATCTTTTTCAGCAGAAGCTGAAAAACCCTGTACATAGCCTCTGCTTGATTCTCATTTTTAAAATCTCACAATGGCATCTGTACAAGGTGGACAGGGCAGGGGTTGAAACTGAAAATGGGCCAAGTAGCACTGTTCTGCCAAATATGAGCATGTAAACTGCTATAACTAGGGAAGTTTCTACACTCACTTCTAAGTAACTTGTCACCTAACCACTCTAAGTTCCAATATGTGATTTTAACCAGTCCAAAATTCACTGCCAGCTCAGAAAGCAGCTGTTGCACGCTGAAGACAAATATCTACTTGTAAGAATTCTTTTCTTTACAGTACTTCCAAGAGAAAAAGCTGAATGCACAAACCAGAATGTGAAATTTAAAAAAAAAGGTAAAGATGATGAAACCATTATAAGAGACTCATCCAAGCCAGATGACAGGGTCTGGTCCATACAGATAAATATGCTAATCAGGGTAGGCTCCTGTCACCCTAAAACTGAAGAAAGCCTTTGCTCTGCACATAACTTCTCATCAAAAATAGTGCAAATGAATCACAATCACAACTATTTGTGAGAATGGTGGAATCTCGCTGTTACTGAACTACAGCACTCACTTGAAATTTTAAATATGGGACTATGTAAACCTTCCTAAAATTCTGGAACTGAGGTCCACATTATCCCAGTCATCTGTTGCCTTTTGAAAAATGAAACCCAAATCAAACATAAGAGTCTTTCATTGATGCTCACCATAATGAAATATATATACAGACAAATGCAGTTTGGCAAGCTCAGTTAATACAAACCAGCTATAAATTTCTAAAAAAAATGAGTGTGCACAGGTCAAAGTTTTACAACAGCTAACTGTTTAACATCCAGAAGGCAATACAAAGCAAAGGCACATCCATATTGAGGGTGAGATGTTAACAAAAAAGGATGACATCAAACAGCCTCCATGTACAACCCAATTCATATCAGCACGGTCCTCTCAACTTCAGCTCTTTCACAGAAAGAGCACAGAAGCCACTCACAGCTGTAGAAACAGCCCATCACTTCAGCAGAGATGCTCCCAAACCAAGGCTGGGCTCCCAGGTATGACAGACAGCTTGAGCTCTTACTGCTGTTTTCATCAAAGGTGGCAAATTCCCCCAACCAAATGGGAACATCTATCACCAAGGAAAGGACAGGAGAGAATCCCTCTGAGAGAAGGATGGATTGATGCTACCCTGTATGAGTCTCATGTGTGTGAACTTTCCCCTCTGATCCTCTCATGTTTCTTCTCACATAGTCTGCTGCTGTCGGTAAACCTGGCTCTCTAACATCTTGTTCAGAAACTCATCCTCCTGTTCTTGCTCCCTCAGGCACTGAGGTTCACCTTCTTCACCATCTCTAGATGCTCCTGCCCTCTCTCATTCTGGCACTAGAACTCAGCATTCTTCAGCAAGCCCCCACTTTGGCAGCCCTTTTGCTCTCAGTCTCACCAAGCAGATCTGAAATGCTGCTGCCTTCCTGAGTGCTCCAAACACCTCATTCCCCTTTCAGCCTTCTCTTGAGCTCTGGATCAAGATCAAGATTTTAGCCCTCGCTTTCATTGTGCTTTACAACTCACAGCAATTATTGTTGGCTCATAATTTCTGTAACGATCTATCTGTGGTAGCTATTCATGCATATATACTCCTTAGCAGACCTACGCACGCTCCTGTACATAAGTATGGTATGTGCTGGTTAATGAAAGATATAGAAATAACAGAAGCCAAATCAAGCACGTGTTTTTGTTGAGAATGTCAGATTCCGTGTTTCACAAAATCCTAGCTACACCCATGCTAATAAACTTGGGTTGTTAATTTACAGAACAATATGCTTTATTGTAGGGAAGGAAAACAGTGAGTTCTGTATTCTGCTTCAAGTGACTTTCAGTCTCCTGATAGTGCATTTCTTCTTGTCAGTTCTCTACAGCACAGATATGTCCCAGATTACTTCGTAAACAAAGCAAAAATAATTTCTTTCATCCAACTGCGGCAGGAACTGAACAACTTAATCTGATCATTGTGTGCAAAGAAAATATTTCCAATGACGACATCTTCCTATGTCAATTGGTTTTTATTACAGATGTCATCTCTATGTGCCATATTAATGCAGCTCTTTCTTCTCTTTTCAAGATTTTAATCTAAGTTTGTTGCTCTAATATTTTATTGGTTTAAAATACATGCTGTAAAATCCATGGCCTTCAAATTTTCCTGTAAGCTAAAAATAAACTGCTCTTGTCAGATATGGTTAGCTGATAAAAAGTGTCAGAGACTTTTCTGAATTACTTTGATAACTTCCTGTTTATGTGGTACTGACCCTTGTCTAATAAAGTTCTTTTACACTTGGAATAAGAGAAGATACTGCAGCATACTATTCCTTAATGGACAATGCTGATTACTTTTGAAAGCCTTTAATACATTTCCCATATTAGACATGAACAGATGTCAGGGATGTTGCCAAGTGAAATTTCTTTTATGCAATCTTGGCTTGTTGTACAATAATAGCCCTTTCTCAACATGGGAAAAAATTACAGACCCAACTAATTTCCTTGACAGGGAAGAGTTACATATGTTTTCCACTTGTAGCTTTTACGACAAGTTTACAATTTTGCCAAACCTGGAACTAATTGGGACTGTTTCCAAAAACGGTCCAATAAACCCACAATGTGTACAGCTAGCTTAAAATGCAGCAAATGATTGTTTGCTTTTACATTTTTTTTTTTTTTTTCTAACAGGGAAAAGTCAGATTGCACAATTATTTCATTTAAGTTACTTAAACACTTACTGTTTCATATCCTCCCAGTTTTTGAGCAGCTTGAAACATAGTCCAAAGGTTAACTGTTAGAGGGACAATAAGTATTTAGATAAGCATTGCATTAACCAACATATTTCAAAGAAATGTAAATTAAACAGTTATTTAAAAAGTAGAAAAAAAAAAAAAAGCTCACAGCCCCTGAAAAAGCTCCTGTGAAACATTTTCCAAAGAGGTATTTACATAATCTGAAAAGTAAATATTAGCCTGTACTATATATATATATATTTAATTACATATAAGAGAACATACTTAGATTCCTTAACAGGACTGGAAAAATACACTAAGACAAAGGTAATGGGCTCATTTGACTTTGCTGATAAGAAGAACAGTACAGTGAGACTGTAGCATGTTTCCATAACTTTGATAATAAAAATTACTCATTGGGAAGAATGCTGCTTTTAATTATTTGTTTAATACTGATTTTATTAGCAAGCAAGCATGAGCCACATACTAGCTCACAAAGCCTATCGATTAAACAACAATATCCAATATTTACTGCAGCTCAGATAATGGCCTCCATAATCAATAAGCAATAAGCTGCGTTCTAATGGATCCTGTGTAAATGAACCCGGGGGGAGCACAAATGAAAATTACCATAGTAATTATGTGGTCATGCCTTGCCCCTGGCTGTGGGGTGAAAGGAACAGAGGTAACTCCTTCAAAAGGCGTGCTGGGAGATGCTTGTTGCTTCCTGCATAATTTCTTCCCTCTCACTTCTCATGCTGGTCTTATTTCATTTTATTCTTTTTGTTTTATGCTAATTGACAGCAGAAAAACTGATGTCACAGCTTTATGTAAAGTCAGTGCACTGTTCCTCCAGGAAGCAGTGGCTCCCAAAAGACACGCTGTTTTCACTTCAGGCCAGACTCAGCAATAATGCTTCAGAACACAGAGGACAGGATCTCCTCTTCCACGGGGGGATGCTCTGATGCAGTGTATACACTGCTCATTCCCACTAACCTATTTATATTGGCAATGTTTGCACAAGTCTTGCTGGACAAATACAGAGCCCTGTCCTGCAAACATTTCTGCTCTTCTCAGTGTACTTACTCTTGGCATTTAAGTATTTACTGGATCAGGCCCCTAATTTATAATGAATGACAGGCAACTTTCAGTGTATTTCAGCTATATGTTAGGAGAGGACCCTAACTTGTATGGGGAATTTTAGAAATAATACCTAAGCTTGTCTTTCAAGTCCACCTTGCCCCCACGTGCAAGGGGGCACAGAATAAAACGGGGAGGGGGGGGGAAAATCCTCTCTTCAACACAAAATGTTCTAAAAGCCTCATTGAACCTTGTATTGCTTCAAAGCTATCAAGAGCTTTGCTTAGGCCTTGATTTAATCTGAATCAATGCATAATGCAACGAAGCTGTTCATAGTACATTAATTTTACTTCCATTTCAAGCAGCCAGTTTTCAGACAAACATTGTAATCATTCGGAGTTATATAAGTTTATAATGGCTGCTGGAGGCCTGTTGCAATCAGTGCCAATTGCTATTAGGTATGTAAATTGTTATGTAAAACACACAGGTTTGACATTCTTCATCAAAATAACACATGGTTTTAATCTACGAGATAAATTAGAGTAAATAATATTTCAATCCATAGAGTCCTCCCTATAAGGAAAAAAGTATCAATCAGCCTATAGATAAGGAAAAAAAATACCCCCTTCTACAGCTTTTGTTGGAAACTCTAGATTGCACTGCAATATTTATGTAGAATTTAGTTACAACTGTATCTTCTCCACCTACAATTGCTTTACAGATTGTGGCACTACAAACTGTACATGCCAAAGCAATTTTAAACACTGCATTCTGTATTAAACAGATACAGTCTGGTTTTATATTCTCCAAAGTCAGTAATTTATTAACTATAAACACATTTCTGGGCTGAAAAATCTGATCCCTTTTGTGCCTTTCTTGACCACCTTTAAATGTCCTCCTTTAATATTTGTCCTTTCATAAAGAACATCTGGGCACAATAAACATACGTCATGTTATTAACTCAGAAGAAAGGCATTACAGACGCTGCAGATTTACAAAACAGAAAACTAGAGAGTTTTCAACATGCCTATTTCTAGTCATAATCAGTGGATTTAAACCTATAAATATCCGGCAGCAACTACCCCAAGAAGGAAGAGATGCAAATCTAGGCATATGACAGTAAAATGCCTGGACTAGAAAATGCATAGATATAAACATGGTCCCCCCGTCTGTAAGGCTTTAAAACAGGCTCTGTGTGCAAATACTTTCTCCAGAGAAGCCAAACCGTTCTAAAATGTCAACAAGAAAGTGAGAAAAAGGATACTTACTCTGCTTAAAACCTAAATAGGGTATTCGTTCAATTGGTGTTTTCCTTTCTTTCATATATTTATAAAGTGCCACAAGGAAAGCCTGCTCATCAGCTCTGCATTCTTCACCTACGGCAATCTTTGATTTATCCTCACTTGAGCCTTTTTTACAGTTGCTGTTGTTACTCTTGGGTTTGGGCAAAGCTGACTTAGCCTCACATTTTACCTGGGAAAAAAAGAAGATGTCATATCAGATCTGGGTAACCTTTAATTTTCACTTAAAGAACAAATACCCACTCCTAGCAGAATGGATTGCTGAAAAAAAAGGAGGCCAAACCATGCAACTGTGTTTGAGGGGAAACAAAGGAAGCTATTTTTAGAGCTAAATGTCTTGTTCTGAATCTTAGTCACAACATTTTTAAATAGCCACATCTTTAAATCATTATAACCCATTGGTAATGCTCTCCAGATCTGCATTTTTATGACTATACATTGCTATGTCACAGACAGCTCCCATCTCTCACATACACTTGCCATTAGCAAGTCTAATAATAACCTTTGTTCCAGGACTGACACTGAGCATTGTCAACTCCCGCAGACAACCCTTGGAGTTGAGGGTGCTCAGCCCTTTCCAGGAACGCTCAGCAGCCAGCTCAGAAAAGACTCATTTTTCTCTCCTCTGGCCCACCAAAATAGACACAGACCTTGGCAGGCCTTACCCAGGCAGAACCCTCAGCGCACATGAGCAGAGGTTCTGCTGTAGCACAGACTTAAGTCAAAAGGGCTTGAGCATCTGCTTGAAGTTAAGCACAGCCCCAGGTACTGAGCAGAAGGAAGAGACTGGTTACAGCAGCCTGTCCCACTATGCTCCCGCAGCCCCAATGCATGTGAGTCTCACAGACCCCACTGGCCTTCCCAGCAGACTTGTCAGTCAGGAAGACAACATATTGCAACCACTTTAACCTCTCATCAGTATTCAAACCTAGGAACTGGCTTCATCTTGCAGTTCATCTTGGAGATAATCCTCACATGGAATCAATCAAATTACAATTTGAGCACTCCCATAATTTATGTGAAGCAAAACCAAAAGAGCGGAACCTTGCAAACTGATGTTTCAAAACCCTCCATTGTCCAAGGTGGGACGAATGCGTGCCCAGTGAGAAGCTGCCCACTGCAAGGTAATGGAAGTGCTAACAGGCTGTCTTGGATTTGCAATGTCCTGTCATTGCTTGCAAGAGCTGTGAAGAGCCTTCTGCAGCTCCACACCTGAACCAAGAGATGTCCTTTGTGCTCCAGAGTGAGCACCAAGAGCCAGCACTAGGTATCTTGAGAGGAGAGCAGAGGGAGCAGCACATCTTGAAGAGGGGAATTATGGTCAAGCAAAATACTGACCCTCCTTTTTCTGCTTCCAACCAGGTGCTTTGTGGGCACTTCTTGACATTTTGGAGGTAAGTGCTTTGGCCAAACAACAAACATACCACTGGAACAACCATATGCTTATTTTATCTCAATAAATAGATACCTCAGGCTCAAGGAAAGCAAAATCTTTTCTTCTGCATTGCTCCAAGATACTAACTCCGCAAAAAGCACTGGTTTAGGGTCAGCTATATCCACAGTTTTCTACAGACACTGGGCAAGACAATGCTAGAGGGGAGAAGTGGTGGCACTTTTCCAAGATACTCGATGCCACTGGAAGCTCTCCCTGTAGGACACTCCAGGGTACAGGCTTGCTCTGCCCAGGAAACACCCCAAGTACAGGAAAGTGGACTTCCTGCATGGTTTTCCTCATCCCTTACTCCTGAAGTTTGTTTCCTGTATTGCTCAATAGCCCCTGGTTGCATGTTACAAAGAGATACTGTCCTCCTATGGCACAAGACACCATGCTTTGCCTTTTAGTAATAGATATGCTCACTGATTGAACTTCAGTAAAGATCCTGGGTTTCATCCAAAACTCAATGAAGTTAAGGGGAATTTTTTTCCTACTAAGTGAACTTAGGATTTCATCACTTCACTTTTCAGTTCAGAGCTGTAATCCCTTGACTTTTTTACTTTGGCTCCTTGCAAAACTGTTTAATAGCTTCCCATATAAAGTTTAGATTATATTGTCAGAATGTTCAGTGCTATACCAAAGACTGGGTTAACACTTCCAGTGCAAACCCATAATTTCATTAAATATAGAATTTTTAATTTGAACTGCAAATATGTGCAAGCTAACACATGGAGTAAATTCACTGGACCTGAGAACAGCTTCTCAAGTTTTGAAGGTCTCTGGCTTGGTAAAGTCAGTCAGTCAGTCAGTTTGTCGGCCAGTCAATCTCAACCTTTGTATTGTGTTTTAATTTTTGAAACCAGGCAATTCAACTACGCTTGCAAAGACAGCCTGGGCACAAACGCTAAATCAAACGAAAGCTCACTTCTCTGAAAGCTAACTAATGGTAAGGGATGTTACTCCCAAAGAGACAAAAGGAAACAAAGAAAGTATCATATAAAAAAAGCCACTGGGAATGAGAAACTCCATGCTACGCATAATGTCCTTCTTTCCAGCACATAGAGAAGAGAGGTCAAAGCGCCTGTGGACCTCAAAGGTGCCAAAATGCAAGGAAAGGCCTCCAAGCAGTGCCAGGTTCAGAGGAGCTCTGATGAAACTGAAATATTTCACCTGCACATATTGGATGCAAAGACTCATTTCTGGCACTTCCCCCAGGTGACAGGAGACATGAATGAGTGCTGTGACCTCTGATTAATCAGAAACAAAAGGGCCAAGCATCATTCTGGATAGCACCGGTGTAAATCCAGTATAAATGCACTGCAGTCAGAACTTTGTTAGATTTGCACCACGGACCAGAAATCAATTCCCTCTCTCAAAATGCAATTCTGAATCTTCCTAAAAGGCAAAGCTGTGGTACAAAACGCAGCATTTTGCTTGGCTTCACTCTCTTGTCTGGTCCAGTCAGAAAGCAGAATGAACTTGTTGTAAAGAGGGAGTTCAATTTCCAGAGGAGGTAAGCTCTTTCGCTGCAGCTTCGTTGTGCACAATACACCCAGAGCGAAGCCGAGGGCTAAGGTCCTGAAAGGCAGTCCAGAGCTGCAGCATGGTGGCCAGGCCGTGCTGCGGTGGGCTCTGGAAACATCTGGCCACATCTGCCTGTGTGCTCAGGCAGAGGTGTACGAGCCAGGATCAAGCAGCCAGAGAGCATCATGGGTGCAGTAGGGGTTTGTTTTCTCCTGCCAGAGGTCACACACACAGCAGACCACTACAGAGCTGTATTTTAGAGCTTCAATCAGATAAAGTCTGAGGCTCTCAGAATAAATCTTCATGTCTGAGAGCATGCCAGGCCACCTGTGGCCGCAGGAAAAGCAAATCCTGGCAACTTTTAAACTAATTTCCCAGATCTTGCCATATAAATGAAGTGAGAGATTTACTTTAGCATTTGCACTAGGAGATGTAATGAGTAGATTCATTTGGGGACAATTTCCATGTGTAACAAGTTAATCCTTTCGGCTATTCAGAACAGCCGTATCAGCCAGTTCTAAAAGGCCTTCCAGTGCACTTTTACACACTTTGGGAATGCTTGTTGGGAGCACCAAGTAAGAAATGTTTGCAGGTACAGCGAGGGTCATGCTGGGGCCTGTGGATCACACAAGTTGGTCCAGCAGTGCTGACATGGACAGTATGACAGCCTCCAGGTGCCCTCCAGCAGAGCCAGGCCTGCCTCACCAAATGTCCCAGCAGGAGGTAGCTCCCCTCCTTGCCAACAGGCAACAGGAAGATGCAGCACCCAGACACCAGATCACAAGCAAGAGATGGCACATGACTACGCCACTTTCTAGCAGCAGCTGGAGGCCCCAGACTGCAGGTCTGTCCCCCTGTGGCTCTACTTCCACCAAGCCACCTATACTCAGTGCTTCTACCCAGCCAAACGCTCTTCTGTGCCAACTTAACAGCAAAAGCCTACAAAACAATCTGTCTGCTCATGGCTCAAGGTAAACATGCCTCATGAAATCTAAATTGCACAAATGTATAAAGATTTCTAGTCAGTGGCAGCTGAGAACACAGAATGCAGCAAGTCAATACAAGCGTGTGGTCTGCGTCGGTCTCAGCACCATCTCTGCTCCTTCCCTGCCCAAACCCTACAGTCCCTGACTCTCCGTTGGAGCTGTCTGCCCAGTGTGCTGAAGTCAGGCTGCAGTCAGATGCTGGGTGCCATCAACTGAGGATGAAAGCTGCACAACTTCTGTTTGAAAGGGATTTTAGCTGGAACTGGGCCAGGACCATCACCAAAACTTTTTGGCACCTAGCACAAGTGGCTTTGTCCTATTTACTCTAGCGGTTTTCAGCTCTGCTTTTTATGGACCCGCTGTCAGCATTCATCAGATCTGGAGCAAGACTAGAGAAGAAAATCGGATGGTGAAGCTAACATGGAGCCTAAGCTGATGACTTCACAGCTCAGTGTTCCCACAAGGAGACGACAGCAGGTGGGCCTCCATCCCTTGTCCATAGATTTCCACTGTCCCCAGGAACCCACTGGCAGGGTCTCTAAAAGTGTAGTGCATCTGCTTTGGAAGGTTTTTGATTCACTGCTCCTCTCTTACTGAAATATTTCCACAACCCTGAAACACAGATTGATGCGAAGAGCCAGAGTGAAGTCAGTGTGACTACATGCAAGGACATTATATCATGAGCACGTCTATTATTTATAATGAAATTAAGCTGGCCAAGATAATTAATGCTATTAATATCTGCACAATGATGAGCACAGTATGACTAGATAAATAGGCAGAATTACTTCTTATCTGAAATATCCTCTCATTTGACTAGTAGGGTGAACCCAAATATAAACAGAGAGGGTAAATAATTTGGTATGAAGTGTGTGTTGTTTTTAATTATCTAGTACCTATGCATCAGGTGCCAAAGAGCAGGGTGCTTTGACAACACAGCACATGTTGCATTTTGCTAGGAATATTTTAACATGAGAAATGTCTGAGAGTGGGGGAATTAAGGCAAATTGAGACATTTTCACGCTGCAGATTTTGCACATTCTTCCGCAGAGCAAAAACATTCAGGCAAACTCTATAGCATCTGGCAGGACCCTGCAACTCAGCACACCAGGCTTCATCGCCTTTTACCACGCCTGTCTAACACGATAGTACAGCCTCCAACTGAGCACAATAGGGCACAAAGAGAAGAGAAACAGTAACTTAGGGGCAGAGCTTCATCATGAACTTCAGCCTCTTTTATCGTCATCAACAGAAGGCACAATTTTAACTGAACTCCTAGGGAGGAGGAGGAGGTGGAATTTAATTTGCCTTCCTATGAGAAACCCAGAGCAGAACACTTCCACTTGACCTCTTTAACCTCCTAATCTCCCAGGACATTCACTGCCTATAACAATACGAAAGTAAATGGATCTATAGATTCACTGTATTTCCTAAAGAGATGGTCACAACAATGGGAGCATTTTCCAGATACACATCCATCTAATTTAGTGAAACAATGGACTCACAAGGAGTTGGGTGAAATACTCATGCTATGCAAATATACCGTTAGCAGGGGCTCAAAAGTATCAACAGTGACAAAGTTCTGACAGAGATAAAAATCAAGAAGTATTGCTCTAAGTAATTTTCCATCTTTGCATCTTACAGTTTCAAATTAAATCATCTTGAAAGGAGCCATTTGTGCTGCTTTTATTTTAAGAGAAAATCAAATTCCTATTTAAAACCACACATACAACAGAGAAAATAGGACATAAATTACATTACAAAAACTTCATTTTTAAGTAATTTTAAGTAAAAGACACAAACCCACAAATAACTAAGAGATACGCCCATAAACACAAAGCAAGGATTCAATTTTTACTTTCAGCATGGGCTAGGCACTGCAGCATATAAAGAAGGCTCTTTAAAACAGACCCTGGAATGAATATGCAGCTCAACGTGAAGTATTAAAGAATCTGTCTTTTCTTTTTTTTTTTTTTAGCATTAGTACTGAATTTCTTTCTCACCCCTTAACCCCCCCCCCCTTTTTTTAAAGTCAAGATTTTAACATCAGGGTAATCTCATTTGTGCGTGCTTCTTAGAAACTATTATTTAAGCAGCTCTTGTTTCATACTCTGTTTATCTTCAAATTTATATTTAGAAGTGCATTGTAACAGGGTGAGCTGCTCCCTGGTTTATTTTTAATTTGAAGATACTGTCACAAACTATGTTTGTGTGTCACAGAATGTGAAAACTAACAGCGGGTGCCAAGAAAGCTTAAACACTACCAGTTACCAACAAGCTGATAGCATTAGGTTGTTAGGCGATTATAGGTACTGGTAACTTCCAACACAGACGAGATTTAAAGTAAAGAATAAATCTGTTGAAAAAAATTACATTTATCTCCCCAAGAAAATAAATTACATTCTAATTCGGAAACAACATGCTGGGAAACAAAGGCAGGGCCGTTCCTAAAAAAGGAGAATTACTGAAAGGAATATTATTAAGTGATTTACCTTGGCAACAGCTTTGCTTTCAGAATTATTGTTGGAATCCTTAATGCCATTTAATGAATCTCTTCTCTGTGGGCAAGGCTTCTTTTTGCGTGGTCTGCCTTTAAGATTTGGTGCTGAAAATTAATGGAGAACAATTTGAGTACACTGGATTCTTAACAGCTGAAAGCATCATAAATAATTCCACCACAATCAGTCACAGAAATGTACACATCTGTCTACAGTAAATGCTTATTATGAGATTCCCGTCCTCCATGGGTTACATCTTGACACACTATACATTTCTATATCATATTCCCCAAGGCTAATCTATTCTACTTTCACATAACTAATTAATACAAAGTCAAACACTGGTCTCTGAAGGACTCGGAGAGAAAGCACAAATATTTCTCCATGGTACAAAAAAGAACAAAGTAGAATATTAATAGGTAACTTTGCATTAATGAGCTGCTGCATTTATTATTGTTAATCTTCAAGTAAGAGTACTAACTACTACTTCCAACTTTGGGAAACATCTGTTTTTAGAAATGTTCTGAAATATTAAAATCCCTTACAGCTCCAAGAAATGTTTATATACTCTGTCATTCTTGTCAAAGTTCTTCTAAAAAAGTTTTTAAAAAAATAAAATTACCCCTGAGTCCTGAAACGGATCAAAAAACATAACTAGCTCTAGAAGTTGACAAGTACTGAAATAAGTGATTGATTGTTTCATAAGGGTTACATACCACACGTATAAATTAACATGAATCACTTTCAGTTTTGTCCAATTCTTAAGATAAAACGGCTCTGAAATAACACAGTGACTAAATCCTGGCCACGCTGTGGGAAATGGATCTTCGTAAAAAATACCAGGCTCATCTTTCAATAACGATATTATGATATAAATTATGATCACATATAGAAATAGGAGATGAAGCAGATGTTTGCTCATTATTACGTGTCCTGCCTGCTTTCGGATTTAGAAATCAGCCTCCAACTACTCTGGCAACATTGAGAATGATAAACAATCATTAACTAATGACTGTACTGAAGAAGATAATTTCCCTTAAACCTTTAATTTCTAGGTAACCATTGTTTTCATTACTTAAAGGGATGATTAGAACAATGTCAGAAATCTAAACACCACAAACCTCTTGAGTGCCTTCTAATTGTTTCTAATCTTACATTTGTCACACAGTAAGTCAGTGGTTTCAGGACATTTTACATTTTAATTAGTTTGCAAACACAATAAAGGGTGCTAATTTGATTTTATAGTTCAAGTAACAGTGCCCTATTTGGTCTGCTCAGAGAAAAACAGAAGCCCTGGCTTTAGCACCAGAAGTCCAACAGACACATCCTGCTCCTTCCCCAGCACCAGCACACAGTGAGCGCAGGTATGAGGACGTGTGCAAGTCCCCATTCGTGCATGTATAAAAACGCCTTTGTCGTCCTTCAGAAATATCTCCATCTATCTGCAGCCAAGCACATTCTGCTTACTGAAAAGTACTGCAGAAAGCAATTTGGAAAATGTCATCTGAGGCTAGCAAGCAGAATCAAACAAAGAGATAAAGCAATGATTACCCATTGCGGCCGACAAACATCTGCCCCATTTCTATCTGTCCATGCCGGGCTGCACCCTGCCCCAGCCGTGCCATCGCTCCGCCCCGTGCCAGAGCCAGGGCCTGGGGGCTCAGGGTGCAGGCTGCCGCATGCTGCCCATGCCCAGGCCCCGCCAGCAGTACCAGTGCTTGTGCTGTGCTGGGCAGGGTGCTCAGAAGACAGCCGTGCTCCCTCCACGTGCTACACACTGGCTCACATACCAGCGGTGCCCGGCCTTCAGCTGGATGGGCGCCGACACAGCCCAGACTCAGCACTGAAGCACAGAGGTGCTACAGCACGGGCCAAACGCACGTGGACAAGGATTACTTTTTCTTTCTTCCTTTCTTCTCTTTTTTGGTTTTTAACTAAAGAAACCAGTTCAAGGCTCAGTGTTTTCCAAACACACTCGTTACGCCAAGTTTTGGCACTGTGCTGCACCGCACTACAAAGCACTCCTCACGCTTTGCTAAAAGCTCTAAAAGCGAAAAGGTGTTTGTTACTGAATTCCAGGTACACCGAGCATGGACACAAACACTGTTTGTGCTGGGGCCTCCTGTGGCCCCTCAGCACCACACCGCTGGGCTCTGCACCCGCAGCACTGCGCCTCATGTCACCAGGCCACATAAGGGGCACCAGAACTTGAAACTGCCACGGGAACCAGCACCAAAAGAGAAAGCCCTTGCCACTGCCCCATCAAAGAAAACATTTCCAATAGCTCCAGTCACACTTGAAACAAATCCATTAACATATGCTTCCTAAATCATTCTAAATAGATGCATTATTCGAAGATTATTTATATTTCAGTCAGATGCATTTTGTTCTCTTGAGCAAGGAAATATGACAAGGATTGAACGAATAATTCACAAGGCACACACTTGTTCTAATTTTTTTTTCATTTTTGTTTCATTTATGACATATTCATGAGCACGCTGCAGATTTCCTGAATTTGTTATTCATAATGATCTTAAAGCAACTTTATGAACACGCTGTGGCTTAGTCCCAGTCAGCATTCCTGACAGCACTGCATGTTCAACACGGACCGGACAGCAAAGTGAACATGCACTGGCTTCTCCTCCTTTCTTGTTGGAGAGGGACTTCTGGCAGGAATACCTGAGAACATCTGTAACAACTCAACTTCTTTACATGTTTGTGCATATGGCTTTCAAATTCACTTTCTGAAAGCACTTGTGCCAGTGAGAACTGATAACTTGTACGTTCCCAGAAGGTGAGAACTAAAGCAATGTGAACTAATGTAAAAAAATGAATAAATAAGTAAAGAAAAACGTTTGCTTTTCTTTGCCACCCCTTCAGTGGAAAAGCCTAGAACAGGCTTACAAGAGAGACAATACGCTCCCAGTTCCAACACTATACTTTTCTTCCTGCACATCTGACATACTCCCTTTGGCCAATTTGTGATTTTTTTCCTTTCTTTCTTTGTGCTTCCTGATGCATCTCACAGATGAGAAAACTCCAGAGATGAGCTGAGCTCATCCCGCACTTGCCAGCCATCCCAAAGGGCAGGCTCACATGGAAAATGGCAGCAAGCATGAAGTTATCTTCCTTGCAAAATCTGTTGCCAAGAGAGCAATCCAGAACACAGAAAGGAAAGCCACTTCACTGCAAGTCCTGGCAAACACCCCAGGTGTGACCAGGCAAAACACACCCAGTTTCACATCACCAGAGTAGGAGAGAATGCCCATAGTGCTGCAGAGCTCCCAGAAGGGCTCAGTGATCACTTAGCACTCCTTCAATGCCTGCACTGTGTCACTGGGTTGCTTTCCTTCCCTGAGCAGCAGACCAGGCTGGTGGCACTCCACAAGTCTGCTGCTCGAGGCCCACCGCACTGCTGTCCCAACAACACAAATTCAAGGTGAACAAAGAGCTAATTCAACCACAAAGAACCAAACATGTGGTCATTAACCAGCATGCATGTGCACTGGGCTTTGTTTTCCAGCTATTATTTGGTAAAAGACTTGTGCACCCAATTAAGTGAACGTGCGTGAAATGGATATGCCATGAATATCATCAGCTACATGAGCCATGATGACAAGCGTATCTCAACCACTCTTCCCGTTCTACAATACATCTTACTGCCATCTCAGGGAAAAGAAAATTTATAGGAACCTGCCCAGAGACAGGAATGTTGTTTCTTCTTCTGTGTCTGAATGGATCCTGGATGCTGTGTGGAAACAGGTAGTGACCACAAGCCACACAAAACACTGCTTGCAGTATGACAGGAGGGATGTGGGAAAGCCATGAAATGTTAACTGAGCAGGACACAGTAGATGGGCAGGAAAAAAGAGAAGTGGGAACAGCTTATGGCTATGAGAGTGGAGAGGGAGGGGAGGAGCTGGAGATGCTGGTGGTGCGCCACCAGCCCTCCTCACCATGTAGTGAGAAATACTCTAGCTTCACATTATACTCTTCCTATGCCTGTGGCCACTGCTCTTCTGCTACTACACCTCCAACTCCCCAGTCTCAAGGATATCTTCTGCAGGATTCAGGAGACAGGAGCATTGCCAACCCCCCCGACTAGCACAACTCCCAACTCTGGGTCAAACATGGGATGCCAAGTTCTAGGAAGGCAGAGAATGAGATCTGTGTCAGCTGCCAAGCTCAGCTGGGACTGAACACCAGCTAAGGTGGAAGAGTGTAAACCGTTATAAAAAGCCAGTAAATACATTAGCTTTTCCTTCCACTTGCATCCCCAGGTTGATGCAGGTGAAGATACCATCTTCCCTGTTACCAAGTCAGCCTTACTTGAGCCATGCCCACACTGAGAAATGTGAAGTACCGTGCATGCATGGACATCCTAAGATGCACAAGTAAGTCAACTGACAGCGACCATCGTCATGTGGTAACCCAGCAGGTTAGTCCTAGTAGAGCTATCCTTTTCTTTTCAAGCATCTGATTTTCATCGGAAGCCAAATGAGCTCAGTCTCCTCCATAACACTCTTTTCTAGATACACTTATTTTGACTGATGTTAAAGATGTGTTGTTATAGGGAGGGTGTTAAAAAAAATAGTGGCCTTCACATAGCTGAGGTCAAGCTATGTTGGCACTCTGTCAAAACCGGTGGTGTAGCCAAGAGGCTTTAATGAGCTTGGAATGCATTACCTCATTTGTCATACCTGGATCACTTACTCATGCCGAGTCCAAAATAACCTTGGACCTTGCTGGCTGCTCAGCAAACCATGTAAGTAAACAGTCCTGTACTCATGCCTAAAACATGTACCTTTTTCTTGCTCACTACACATTACTTACTCCAGAGAACATCTATGCAGTCATAACAGCTCTACGATCAAAGTTCTCACCTTTTCCAGGTCTCTCTGACCTGAGAAACTATTCCCAGATATGACTTTTGACTCTTGTCTGCTGACACTCCCGCTTCTCAGAAACACTTAAAAAGTGAGAGAAAAAGGGAGAGGAAAGGGTCACTGTATTATGCTGAGGAGTTTACCAGGATAGGTGCTCAGCACTGCTAACGGCCTTAAGAGCTTACACTGCCAACCAGATTCTGGCTGCCACTGTTTCTGTGACCACATTTCTCTCCTGTGGAAAGACAAAGGGAAGGGGCACAACTGCTTTTCCCAACTGCAAGAGTATGACAGCATGAAAGAAAATGAGCTTGCGAAACTGTTCACAGTCATCAGCAAAGTGCCAGGGAAAGATGTGGATATGCATGTAAGGTGGGTCATACAATCAGATCAGCCCTACACGTGACGGATGCAGGTGCACTGGAGAGAGACAATCACAGAGCAAAGATTATGGTAGAGCACTGGAGGGTGGAAGGAGAAGTTAATGAACAGGGAGGCACTGTGATACTGGATACAGAACAGAAACGTGCTCACCAGAGACTACTTGCTGCGTACCTTCTAATCAATAGTTTCGCTTCCTCTCCTTCTACAAGGTGCAGGACACCTAGCAGACCGTGTACTTGCAGAATCCTTTTGCACTGTGCCAGTCCTTCAAATACCTTGCAGCTCTCTCCCTCTTTTCTCCCTCTCCTTTCAGCTGCAAAACCATCAGTAGATACAGAACTGACTAGGAGACTTTCCCACTCAGACAGGTGAAAAAAGCAGTGTCAGATCACAGAGCTAGTCGTGATTTGAGTGCTGAACAGAAGAAGGAGGCACCATACAGAGAAGCCTGGCCATCAAAGTCAAGGTGAGAAGAAGGGCCACAAAACTCCAGACCATCCATGAACCAATCGTGTGTTGGAAGGTGGCAAAAAGCTGGTTGCTGAGGACTTCCCTAGAGCAGCTTGGCAAAAGTTAGCTCTTGCCTGAAAAACATGCTTGCATGTTGCACCTTTTAAAATGTAATGAACAGAAAGTTAACAGTTTTAATGGTTTTAACACTTACCCCTCTAGGGGGCTTCTGGCATTCTGCAGTATCTGAAAGTTCAAAAACAGGTACTGCTAGATTTAAGCACAACCTCAAAAACTGCTCAAAGGCTAGTTAAACTCGCATACTGTTCTGGATTCTCAGCCGATTCCTGGATTTCTTCATCTCCTCTGTCTCTGTTTTCTTCACCTCAAGCCCTTTTCTGCAAGCTGATTTCAGGACTCTGTGTTTCATTCATTTCCCTTTCACCCCTCAAAGTTTATGGAAAAGCTCCTGCTTCCTGGGAACTGCATCCAAGTCATAGGGCCTGGAGCATGAATAGCCCAGGTATGGAGAACAGCTGGTGGGAGATGCAAACTGCAAACAACCTGGTATTGCATCAAAGAATCAAAAATTACAGTGTCTGAAAAATAAAGGATCAGACAGCCTAGATCTTTGTTTAGAAAACAACACTGTCAACAGAATATGGAGAAACTCTCTCCTACGTACATCTATGACAGCAAGGAAGGAGCACTTACCAACAGCTAACATTCTTGTCCTCTGAAGGCCCCACAAACACACACCTCCTGCCTACTCAAGCTGTTCATAAAGCAATTTGAATACTAACCCCAATTTTTTGAAGCCTTTTCTAAACGCAAACACTTGTTTATTCCTTTCCACAATTGATAAACTTTGTGGATTTATCACCTAACATGTCAGACTTGACCTGGAAATGCTGGAGCAACGCAGCAACCATGTGAGGAGCACAGAGTATCCACACCGCTTTCTAACTCACACGCAGAAAGGGAGGACTTGTGGAGCCATTCCTGGAAGTTTTGTTTTGGAAATGAGATAGCCCATGCTCCATGTGGGGAAAATCAATTTGCTACCTCTCTAAAGAAAACATTCCTCATTTGGAAATAACTGAAACAGACACTTCCTTGTGTGGATTAATGTGGAGACATATGACTTGCTGCAGACTGTTGTTTTGACCCCCCTCCTGACCAGACAATCTCTAAAAAAAAAACAAAAAGGTGGTATTTTTCACGGATTATGGGTCAGAGCAGTATTGTTTTTAATAGAGAAGTTAGAGGCACTGCAAATATCAGGTTGGCTAATTGTGCCAAAACCAAAATGTTTTTAGTTTCCATGGAAGACAGTGACAAGATTCAGGATGAGGCTTGTTTTCTTTATTTCAGCATGGCTGGAAGTTAATTAAGACTTCTGCTGTAAGGGCTTTGTTTTGTCCTGCTGACTAATTCGGGTTTAAAAAAAATCAGAAAAGGGTGTATTTCTTTGCCAAAATTTATGCATATATTAGCTGTTACAAAATACAGTAAATTGAAAAGGGAAGACGAAGATTTTAGAGAAAAATCTATGCCTGACAAATGTGTGACATGCAAGTAGTCCTCAGAGCAAATCAAAATAACAATAATTTAAAAAAATCCAGGGTAGGCCTATTATTGGCTACAGATGACAGAATTGTTATTAATGATTCAGAAAGAGACAGAGGTGTTTGGTAAATATTTGTTCCATATTTGCAGAGAAGCCAGATGATATGCTTGCAAAAGAATATAATTAAAGCGAGCCAATTGACTCAGTTTTACATAAACCAGATCTTAAAGCAACAAAAAAGAAAACAAATAAAGCACCTTATTTTATACTTTGAAACTGCAAACTTGATTAGAGAAACCAGCAGCATGCAGGGAACTCACCTGCACTTTGGCAAGGCTGTTGATTTAATGCTAGATAACACTCTGATTAAAAAATAACACGACATAATTTTAGTCAAGCAAATATTAAATAGATTAGAAACTGGCTAAGTGATAGATCTAAACACAGGCATCAGTGGGGAATTTCTAACAAAGGAAAATATTCCTGGTAGGATTCCACAGAGGTTGCTGTTAGACTTGATGATGTTCAGCATTTTCTTCAGTGAAATAAATATGAGGTCCCTGACAGTAACATTCACCATGACACCATCCAGGTCTGGCACAACGCTAACGCGGGCTAATTTGCACAAGCAATTCAGTGGGAAAACCAAGCCAAACATAACTGACTATGCCTAGCACTACTCCAGCATAAACCTGAGAGCTCAGTCCCAGCTGGTACCTCACGGGCCACCCCAAAATGCAGCCCAGTGTGCCATGGTAGGAGATGCTATGGCACAAAGTCTGCCTCCTGGAGCTAGCCTGAGCAGCTCAGCCCATGCTGCGTTTCAGCGAAATGACTGAGAAATGACTTAACCAGGTAATATAAGTGCCTTGAAGGAGATAAAGGCAGGTACTCAGGAAGCATGAGGCGCAGTGAAGCGCACTGAGGCACTGGCATTGACATACACAAGAGCTGAGGCCAGCGTGCCAGGCATGCACACATTCAACTGTCAGACCTTCCAGAAAGGCCTGAGCCAGCAGAAGAGAACCGAGCACGCAGAGGGCTGGAGCTGGGTGCCGACCCTGGCCAAGTCCCAGCGCTGCCAGGACAGCCTCGGCGCTGCGGGAGCTGAGCTGGCTGCAGGAGCCAGAGTCCAGCTGTCTGGCTGTGCTCCTCACTCCAACAGCTGCTTCTCTTCTCCTTTAGAAAAAAGGTGGTGGGCTGGATGAAAGCATTCACTGGTAATTTTGGCTGATGAGCCACTATTTGGTTCATACCAGATCGGATGACTCAGGGTTCTTTTGGTGAGAAACTCTCAGAATACAGGAATTAATACAGTAGAGTACTGTGCTGTTCAGGACAAGGAGCTTGAAGAGCCACAGCCTTGATTCAGCAAAGCACAAGCCTAACTTGCAAAGACTGGGAGCGTGCCAAGACCTCCAATGACCTCACAGGGGCTATTCAGGTCTCTGAGGTTGAGGTGGTGCTAAGCATTGAATTCGCGGAGCCAGCACAACTCTATCTGACTGAAGGTGAAACACTAAGCTCAGGCAGCAACACTGGGGCTGGCCATGGGTTCCTCAAGGCCTGCAGTACCTCAGAAACCTGTGATCCCTACCCCAGAGACCATGTTGGGAGGCTGTGATTGGTGTGTGGGGGGGTGATCTGTAGGAGCTTTGCAACAATATGCAAGTCTGAGTTAAAAAAAAAAAAAAAAAGGAAAAAAAAAAGAGAGGGAAGAGTTGAGAAGGCACAAGCAGACTGTGTAACAGACAAGACAAAAGCAGTACAAAAACAGTAGCGAGAAGGGAAAGCGCAAAGCAAACCCATGCAAGTCAGCCAATCTCATCGGAACTCAGCAGAACACACAGAGTAGACTTCCCATTAGAGTGCATTAGAAAATAGAAGGCAAATAAAAGCTCACAGCAAACGTTAAGAAGGCTTCCCTAGCAATATTTCCCTTTCTCTCCTGCAAAAGCGAGCGTTTGTTAAATTGCTGTCTAGCAGAGTCAGCAGTACCCAATGGAGACGTGACCTACATACCTCGGCAATACAATGGCTGTGCAGCCGATCACGTCCATGTAGATAGGCAGATGAGATGGGTAACTGACTGGTGGAGGGTGGGCACTGGGGTGAATCCAAATAGGCAGAAATTCAGACAGAAAGCATAAAATGGATCGTTTCCAGAGACCTTGCTTAGGGGAATGACAGCAGCAAGTAGGAAGCTATGATCACCCAATAGCACAAAACACGAAAATTACAAATATATTATTCGAATCTCCCTCATTTCTGATTTGTAGTGTGTTAATCAGAGATCAATATCACTTTTTTTTTTTTTAGTGAAAGAATCCTACAATGTTTTTTCTTTTTTCTTTGCACTTTATCATCGCACTGCAATCATAACTGGTTAGGCATAACCACCCCACATGAAGATGTCAGCAAAGTGACAAGCAGCAACTGCGGAGCACCCTCCCTCCCTGACACCACACTCACTGCAGCGCATCCCGCCTGGGCCGAGTCCCATCCTCATTCTCCCACAGCTCCTGGGGCTGCCACCTCCTCTGGGGTGGCCAGGAGCTGGGCAGGCTGGGCTGGGCCGCTGCCCACCACGCCAGGGAAAGCGGGCAGTTTCCTCCAGTAAGGTGTGGTGGTGGTGACTCTGGTAACTTTGAGCTCGCAAAAGGGGCATCCCCACGGCCACCAGAGGATGGAAGCCGGTGGCTGTAATGCCCTGCTGGCAGCATCGTTTGGCCACGTTCAGTGAGCGCAAACCTGGGGAACTCGCTGTAACTGCCCCGACACGTGCAGAACCGAGCCCGCCTCCGCTCCACAGCCCGTGCCAGGCTCCAGCACTCAGAAAACCCAGCCGGAAGGCGGACTGCCCCGTCGGCACGCGGCAGGGCTCCGACACGGCGCGGCACTGACCGGGCCCTGACCAGCAGCCGATCGCTATCGAACAGACGGGGTCTACATATAGCCTTATTTGGGCAAAAGCAGCCTTCTGAGCCGCCCCGCCGTACTCTCCTTCGGAACGACTCTATTTGGCCGCTTACCCGCTGCGGCGGAAGCTGGGGGCGACGCGCACGGAGCCGGCGGGGCGAGGAGCCCCTCGCCGGGGCTGAGGCGGCCCGAGCGCAGCCGTCATTGCCCTCTAGCGTCGCCCGCCCGCCAGCCCGTCCGGCCCGGCTCGGCCCCGCTCGGCTCTGCCCGGCGCCGCTCGGCTCCCCGCCCGCCGCCCCGCCGCGTTCATTCATGGCTAAAAATAGGCGGGAGCGGCAGCGCAGCGAGCCCGGCGCGGAGCTGCGGGCACCGGGACCCGCGCATTCCCTAATATGGAAACGGAGCCGAGTTTTCAAAAGCGGCGGTTTATTTGTTTCTGGAAATGGACAACATATGTCAGAGATTTACTATACGGAACCAGGTGTATATATAGCGTAGATCTTTGTATGCGCCCGTTTTCGTTCTATATAAAGGCTTTATGCAGCCTGGAACTATAAATTTAATAATAGATTACTAAATTAAGTCTGCACAATCACTTCATAAAAAAAAAATCATTTCAATTTAAAATACAGCTGTAGGGGCTTGGACAATTTCCTGCATAATAGAGGCCCATCCCTGCAATGTAAATAACCCCGGCATTAAAACAAGTCGATCAGGCACATCAGGAAAAAAACCTTCACAAAAACAGAAATGCGTTTTGCAGCCTATCCCAAGTCAGGATGCCAAGCCCTCATTTTATTCGAATGCTGCTTTGATAAATCACTCCTGCTTCAGCAGGCTTTTTTTTTTTTCCCCTTAATGTCCTGTTTTCCTCCCAGCAATCCAGGCCGATTAAGCCTCAGCGTTCTGACTGTACCAAACCAACGGGGTTTTGCAACAGGAATTATTCACTGCTTTCCTGTGTACCGTCAGCATTCTTAAAATACTGTTACTATAAAACTAAGCAGCACGCTCTTCAGACATGCGTGACGCTGCCGCTCTGTTTATTTCCAGCTGCAATTGTGCAATTTTAAAATTCTCATCTTTCTCAATGCCCTCTCCCCAAACAAATACCTCCGATAGTTGTAAGATTAGAGAAACAAGTCTGATTTGGTTCGGAGCCTCACAGGCCACCTGTAATATCAGTGACTGATTGCCCAGTAAAAATGACAAACATTGCTTCAGTTGCTATATATCCTAAGTTAATTATCAGGCTTTCTCTTCCTAATTTGATGAGAATGAAATATCACAAGAAGTACATATGGCAATGTAAAACATCATCGGGGAAAAGGCAAAGCAAACCTGAGAATATAAGCAATTGGGTCTGTACAGCCAGGTACGTGTGACGTACCGCCCTTCCCACTGCCGCAACCACGGAAGCACAGACCTGGAAGGGCTCCAACCCCCCCATTCTGCACAATCCTCCCACGTGTTTAGCGGGATTAGGCTCCTGGAAGGCTGCACAAGGTTCAGAAAGCTCAAAAACTTCAGTTCACTGCCTCATGAAATACATGACAAGAATTCTATGTTCTAATCTCAGTCAGTCCTCTCCTCCCAATAGCATCTGGAGGGGCTTTCGCATCACCCAGGAATCCTCAACCCACTTCCAACAGCAGGACCGTCCTGTGCCCATGCTGACTGCAGCGATCTGGGTTTTTCCTAGAAGCCTCCCACCAGACGTGACCCGACTTAGCTTTGTTTAGGAAACCTGACAGAGCGACACGAATGGCCAAAGCTTCTGTATATCTAATTCCAAACAGATAAAGTATCTTCAAGACAAACCAGCACCTCTCAGAGATTTCCAAGTACATTATTAAGTAGATCTGGGCTTCACCAGAGGTGAATATGAAGATTCATTGTCCCAAGAGATAAATATTGACTAAGGAGAAGCAAAGGTCAAACTGGTCAATATTTACTCAAGAAACTAAATCTTGGTGCAGTGTAACACACACGCGAATGTCTTCATCAGCTGCCTCTGGAGATCTTTTCATTATGACTAAGGATTTCAAAAGGGTAGCTCCTTTCCCTCTAAAATCCTTGTTTTAAGAGGAGAAGCTCCCACAGACCTCCTGCAGTCAGAAGCTCTCCATACCCTCAGTCCCAGCAGAGCAGTCTGTTAGCAAATGCCATCTAACCCATCTGCACACCAAAGCTCAGGGTCCATGAACAATTCATATTGTTCGTGTCTGACCTCTGCAGACGTGAACAATATGAATTTTCTGACTCATCACATGATAGTATTCCAGGCTTCCACGAACATGAATTTCTTCTTCAGTAAGGATTAATGTACTCCCTTTTCCCTCTGTCTCAAATATCTGTAACTTAAGGCAGAAATTTTATCTCAGGCTTCTATTTCACATAAGGAATTACTTTGAGACAATGTCACTCAAGACCTTTGGGGAGTTGCAGTACTATTATTTACTGTGGCAAGTATATTAGTCCTATTATTTATCTAAGGTTTCACGTTTACTGCCTCCTTTCTGAAGTTCTTTTACCATGCTATTTCTGTCTGAAGCCACAGCCCAACAGACTCTCCACAGAACAGCACTGCTGAAATGTAAGATTCAAGGTAGTTCACAAAGCCTGGTTTTCCGGAGATGCACCAGGAAGGCAAACACCCCAACCCAATGCTGTTCATAAGGCCATTCCCTGTATCCCCTGGGGCCCCTCGCATGACCACTCAGTGGATGGGAAGGTGCGAGCTCTTTTACTTCTCTACAGTCTTGTGACCAGGTATATATGCTCCTATTTCTAACCTTTGTCTCCACAAAACAGCCGAGCACAGCAGACATTTGTTGCAATCACCATGGAGATCAGTTGGTTTCAAATTAGGCACAAACTGTTTCCTTTACTATTTTTACTGTGTTTTGAGCCTATTATGCCCTTCCCACCCTGTCCTTTCTTTATTCTTACTGGTAGACACGACGACTCTCCCTCACCACTGGGCCAAGCTTTTGGGCACAGGGGGTGAGGTGAGCCTCACCTTCTGCCATTCTGTGGGCAGGCCTATATGGGATGGTAGAACTACATCTCTGCAAATGACAGCTGGGTGCGTATCCAGCCTGCAGTGGTATGGATGATCCACCAAGGGCTGCTGAGGGCAATGGAGTTACACTGACACAGACAGGAACTGGGCAGGGGTGGAGGCAAAAGGGGCAAGCGGTGAAATGGGAAGTGGAGACACAGGAAGATGATAGGAAAGGGGAGCCCCGGAGCCAGGCTCCTGAGCCCTCGGGATTGCACACAGAAAAAGAGAAGTGGCACCAGCACCAGTTGCTCCTCCTGGTGGCAATGGCTGAGCGGCCCCTTGCTGCAGCCAGGCTGTCCTGTGCCCCTGAAATATCACACTGCTGCTACTCAGCTCCCAAAGATGCAGAATCTGTAACAGAAGCTCTTTGGACACGCGGAAAAAGACACAAGGACTGACAGTGCTGAATGTAGGTTTCCCACAGCCCAAGTCAATTGGCTCCCTGTGCCAAAAATGCAGCAGGCTGGGAGCTGACAGCACCAAAGATGCACATGCCAAATGCAAGCCTTTCCCACAGTTCTGTGACAGGTACGTTACTTCCTTTAAAACACTGTAACGTCTTCACTAAAAAAAACCACCCTGGTTCTGGAATCATATGCAATCCATAATGTGGAACTTAAGTTTAATTCAAAGGCCAATTAAAAAAAAAATCAATGAAATGCTTTTATGAAACAGGAGATTGATCTGCAGCTTAAAACTTCCAGTAATGTAATATTTTAGAACTTTAATAAATAATGCTTTTATCTTGATTGCAAAATAATACCCTGCCATGAAAACACAGAGCAGAGGTAGGAAACTGTTCAACAAGAATTAAAATGTCACACTTTGCACAGAACGGAGCATTACAATTATTGGTGAAACACATTTTTCAAACTTGTTAACACAAAATTAACAATTACATACATCACTTAATTCTATAAGTGCATATCTCTCGAAGTACCCATTAGCTAACCTTGCCTAGTTTGGTTTTAATATAGATGCAGGCTTTGCAGCACAGAGGGGATGTAACCATGTGAGTGCTGGCACAGTAAACCCTGAAATGGCAAGTGCTATTAAATTGAGATGCAATCACACTGAAAGGGAAACATTAACAAACAGCAGACAATTGAGAAGAAAATACAGGGCGCTTGTGTTCTAATACATGTGCTTCAAAACCTTATATAACTATTCATTGTCTAGTTCATCTGGCCAGGGGCCCAGTTTGCTCTATGCTATGCTATACTAATTTTATAATAATAAACTGTTATACAAGCTTTACGCAGTCATGCATATGAAGAGGTTGTGGAAGACATTACATTTGATTATCTTTCTAGCAAAGACACCATCTTGAAATTAAACATAGCCTGGCAGAAATGTACGTGAAAAAGAAAATAAAGGGAAGGAGGAAAGAGGGAAGGGGAGAAGGGAAGGGAGGAAGGGGAAAGGGGAAGGGAAGGGTTTATCAAAAATAAACAAAAAACAAAAATTTTTTTGAAAATGAGACGTTAGACTGTCTTCCCTCTCTGAATATCATCTGCCCCATTATGCATGATAGATGAATACCACTAATCCCCATAGCACAATGCAAGAATCTGCATGTTCCTGGACAATATTCATTTGAAGGCAATTTTGGGAAACATGTTTTTTTTTGGTTGTTTTTTTTTTTTTTGCTTTTTTTTTTTTAATAAATGCATCTTCTTTTCATAAAAACAAGGCAAAATGGTTTACAAAGCCAAAAGGAATGCGTGAAAGAGCTGGGATTTAAAACCCTTTATGTTATTTGTTGCTTTAGCATGAACCAACACGAATCACTGAGATGCTTCAGTTAACTTCTAGCCGTACCACAAAACATTTTTAAAGACAGCAGTTGGAAAACGTGGGCATGAGAGAGACAGGGCACAAAAGCATATACAGTACGAACCAGATGCAATCCAGAAAAGTCATTTCATATTCCACATTTGTCTATGGAATTGTCTGAGAATTTTCTGCTGAACATTACTTCCAGGTTTATCGTAGCAGTTCAAAAATGGCTATATTTAGTCACTGACCAGTGCCAGAAAGCACTACCAGACTATAGGATCATGGCATATTTTAAGTTTGAAATCTCATCTGCCATCAAGGCCAGAAATAAATGCCTTTTATTATCAGAAAGAGTGAAAGCCTCAGACAACCAAGATATGTAAGTGATTGTTTTTCAGCTCTAAGTCACAAAATAGCAACCCCCAAAATCACATTATTCAGATTACCATTGTGCGTCTGCTACCTCCCTACCACCCCCTACATATTTTGATTTCAACATTTTAACGTCTAATCTAAAAAAGCCACTAAAACTAGTGAACCAGTGTTTTATGTGGGGCTCCTGAGGCACTTCCACATGCAAATAACAGCAATACATACCAAAAGCAGAGTCGGCAGCCAAGAGGCACACAAGTCATGGGGTGTTGGAGAAAACACCAAAAAGCTTCAATACCATATTCTGATCTAAATTACATCACCATGGAGATCAATCTTTCTCTTAACCTTTACCTTTGAAGCTGAGATGGTCAAAAATACAATTTCTACTCAATAGGAAAATGCCAGAATTTCATTGTTTTCCTCATGAATGGGGGTGAGGAGATGGGGATGGGCAAAGGATGGGCACACACCAGCATTGCCATGGTGCTCGCCTGCAGCCCCGCTGCTGAGAGGGGTCTCCAAAGCAGAATTTCAGCTCAGCTTGATACAGTTAAGGCACTACAGCCCCACACCAACCATTTCATTGCAATCTTTTGAAAAAAAAAAACAGATCAAAATGTGGAAACAGAAACATGGTGGCTGTAGGGAATTAGTGGGGGAAAGATTTCTGTTTTCTTCAAATGGCATCTTCCAGAAGAGTGAGAAAAGCTTCATGTGAGGTCAAAGTTATACCAGAAGGGAAAAAGTAGGAATCAGGTGGCAGCACCAGAGAAGAGCCAGAGCTAAGTGTCATACATCAATATCCTGCATTTAGACTTCGGCCTGGAAATCTCCATAAGCTAAGTAGGACTCTACTCTAGCTGCAGGTGTAGTACAATACAAGACGACATAATTTTTCTTGGCAATTAAGCAGAGTTCATTTGTTTTCTATTATTTATTTTAACTACTTTATCCATCTTGTTTTGGCATAGGCTTCCAAAATGAAGAAGGCCAACAAACTGCTCCCTCCTGTAACTGCACCTAGCTGCAGGACTGCCCTCCTTGCCCCATCTCCGCCCCTGACCAAGGCTCCAGCTGGAGCCTGCAATGCTGCTCTGGAGCTGCTCCTCCCAATGGGCACATGCAGAACCCCAAGAGGCAGCACAGCCATGTGCCTTCTCTGGCTTACCTGCACTGGAGCCACTGGGGTTCATTCATCTCAGCTCTCTTTGCTCTCCCGAATAGTTCTGAGGGTTGCTAGGCAACTATTGTTGAATACATGCATGAGGCATTAATTGTCTGAGCGCTTTAAAAGAGGAAAATTCTTTAAAACTGAGGACATTGCCATACCAAAAATAGGATATTTCCTTTATAAAGGGCAACACTCGTGGCTGGGAATGTTGATGGCTGCAGCATGTCAGAAGCGAGATGAGTCATGGCGATTACTCACAGCGCAGCACAAAAGCAGCATCTTAGGAGAACTGACTTTTATAATAAAGTTTTATTTTAAATTAAGTGCTTCAGATCTAGTTTTATCTCCAGACTGCTGTCATTGGGATATCACGGTCCACATTTTCACCATGAAATTAATGGTGTTGGGTCCGTCCTCTGTTACACAGCATTACAACTTCCTGAGCATATCAGTTCACTGCCTTCCAAACCCAAAATGGCACTGGCAAGCTTTCTTCTTTGCTGCACTTCAAAGAGACGCTCCAGTCTCACTGCTGATCCTAAGTGCTCTGTGCTCCCTACCCGTAAATGTGGATTTCATTTTATAGGGTCTTTTTTTCCAAAATACATTCCAATGTCATGATCAAATTCTGAAGACAGTAAACACAGACTTCCATAAATTGACTTAAACTTCTAAACTAAACAACTGCTAGGATTTGCAGCTAGGTAATTTTCCCTTTTTTTGTTTTACAATAAACCCATCTCTATTGTAACTAAACATTCACAACGTACATATATTCAGCCTAATTACAGGGTGCCTTTCAAAACCACCAACACCAAAAAAAACCATGAAGAGCCTTTTTTTTTTTTTTGGCAAATTGGTCAAATGATTATGGTTCATTGCAAAATCAGGATATATAAAGGAACAAGGGCAACTGTACTGCTGAATTTGTACATGGTATTCTGAGCAAATGGGTCCTAAATACCCCAGGATTCTGAGCAAATGGGTCCTAAATACCCCAGGAATAATCTTCAGTCTGATTTTCAAACTTGCGCTCTACTTCCATGGAAGCATGTATAGGACACAGGATCACCTGAACAGAGTTCCAAAGTTCACCTGAGGTTAGCAAGATTTGAAAGACAGTGTTTTATTTAATGAATGAAGTGGGAAGGAGAAACAATACCTCCTGAAAGTAAACATGGTAACCCATAGCCCAGACTTGCTTTCAGTGGGAGGTCAGCTTCTTCTGCAGTTGCAGATCCCCTAGGAAACATAGGAGGGCGGTGACAGAGATGGAGGTCACACCATGTTTCTCTGCTGGAGCAGCAGCAGTGCCTGGGAACGTCATTCATGTTAGCAGGATGATCACCATTAGCCTTTTCACATATTCTCTTACCCTTTCTGCGGGCTGAAACTGCTGATTTCAAATGAATTCCTCCTCTTCTATTACTCACTTGTTACAAACACCTGTTTTTTAATTAATGTGCTCTTTAAAGCTACTACAGAAAGAGGTAAGGTGACTGAAGATGTCTGTGAAGGACCCATCAGGGAAAACTCATGGAGTTGGTTAAGTCTGTACAAGATCTTGTAGTTGTAACGGCATATTTAAATGAGATGCTATCAAGTTACATTTTCCAGTTACACTTCAGCTGAGGAGCAAGCCCCTGGCAGCAATCATTTAAGTGATCTAAAATGGGGCAAGATCCTCCCTGAGCTGGGCTCCCCAGTGGAGAACAGGCAGAGCTCCCAAGATTGCAGTAAGGGTTGGTGCCCTGAGACAGGCACTGCTCACAGCACCCGGGCTGGTGCTGAGAGCAAAGAAGCAAATTTTAGGAAGGTTTGGTTTACTGCATAGTAATGAACGTGCAACAGTCCAGCACAACCTAACCTCTGCTGACCCAGATGCTACAAGTGATTTAATATTAATACAGTAATGGTTTTCAATGCCAGAAGAAAACAGTAGGATATTATTGCCATGTTTACTTTCTGCCTATACAACTTCAGAGTGACTGCTGAAGACAGTATCTCTTGTTTGAGTAAGGATCATGTCGTTTGGAAAGCAGCCTTGATTTAAAAGCTTGAAGTAATAAAGAATCTATGTTACCTCTAGCTAAGCTGTTCCCCTGGGTAATTACCCCTCACTGCTAGATAATTGTGCCTTAGTTTCATCATTAATTTACCTGTTCCTTCTCTGTAGGACTGGGTCCTACTATGTGCCTGTTCACCAAATTAGAGGGGTCCCTGCAGTCACAGATCTGGCTGCCCAGAGAAGCTGTGGGTGCCCCATCCCCTGAGGTGCCTGAGGCCAAGCTGGATGGGGCCCACGGCAGCCTGATCTGGAGGGCTGCAACCCTGCCCACGGCAGGGGGCTGGAACTGGATGAGCTTTAGGGTCTCTTCCAACTCAAACTATTCTGTGATTCTACAGAATAATGCAGTGAAGCATTAGCAGTGCAGTTATCCCATGAAATAGTATCGTCCTTTTGCAGAAAGCCATAATCATTTGAATGACTAACCAAAATGTTAGCTCTTAGGGGCTCTGATAATGATTTCCTTTAGTGTTATATGCAGCAGCAGTAACACCTCTCTATTTCTTCTCACTGTTCCCCTGCTTATTCAGCTAAGAAGCAGGTTTGCCCTCCTATTCTAGTCAACTGGTTATTTGCCATTGCCCTTCAGTAATTCATGGCATTAAGACCAACAAAGCAGCCCTGAGGCACGAGGAAATGCTTGTTTGATCACTAAAAGACCAAGACACAACTATATATATTATCCAGGCCCAAACTTAAGCTGAAATGTAAATTTTCACTGCTTCACTGGCCTTTGCTTCATAATGGACAATAAATCCATTAAAAAGCATTACAAGTCCTAATTGCTGATGAGAAATCTACAAATAAGCAACACTTTTTTTTTTTTTTGTTTTTTGTTTTTGGAGCGAGGTACTACCATTTTTTTAATTGCCTCCTTATTGAGTAGTGATACATGAAAAAAAAAAGCCACCTGAAGAAAGTCCCAGCATCCACTGTCTACCCCTGGAAGATGGGTGCTCATACCCCTTTCAGCAAAGAGCAGCACTTTCTCCAGTGGACATGAGAACAGAGAGACTGCTGCAGTCCCTCAGTTCAGTAGCTCTGAAAATATGAACTAATTCATATATTCTCCATGATCTATCTCATTGCTTTTCAAAGATGCTGACAGGTACTGAGAACTTCCTCAAACAGCACTGGTCAGTGGAGTGCAAGAAAACCAAAAGACTCCTCCTGATCACAGTTAATGCCCTCACTCAATTTCACAAAGAGAAAAGCAAAGCAAAACTTTCTAATGCCTTAGCTTGCCTCTTTTGTAGTTTAATTTAAAAACAAACAAAAATAAATTCACAAAAATGCAGCCACGTGGAACTTACATTCTGCAGGAATCTCACCAACCGGTAATTACTACTGCAGTGTTTAAAATTTCCAAAGAAAGCAAACAAAAAACAAAGAAAACACTATTTTTCAATTAATTTTCTTCCTCTGATTTCTCCCCACATTGCATCATCTCCCAATTACTCTGATTTTGCTGAGTGTGCCAGTTTCTTAAAGACACAGCTATAAAATGTATGGACTAATTGTTGAGCAGAACTGAAGAGCTATTAAAACTGCAATAGTACAGCACTTCCAATGGTAGTCTATTATTTCTACATGATTGCTTTTGTACAGTCCAACTCACGCAGAGAAACTCTTAGATAAATTAACTCCTTCGTCTTGACATAAACATCAAAGGGAGAACTAGAGGAGAATGAACGTTATTTTCTGCTGCTATTTTATACACAGTATTTGTAACCTCCACACACGTTCCTGGAAGTTGCAAATTGTTTAAACTGAGAAACCCATTTGCTGTTTTATCAAGTCTGTAACACATAAAATTTGGCTGCAGAATTATCTCGTTTTCCCATTTCACGTTTCCCTGTCATTTACACGGTGGAGCATGTTTACAGAACTTTATAACTATAATATACAATTCAGTCATTTTTAAACAGCTCTATAAGAGTAACACTGAAATGTACACATTTTAAAGATTACTTAGTGAACACCAAACCCTTTCCCAGCTGTTTTAAATTCTGAATTTCCCAATAAACGAGTAACATACTAAAAAAGCAAACAGGATCTGACATTATTTAGTCTAAGTTTCTAAAATGGCATAACATCTGTAGCTAAAAACAATTTTGAATAACTATATTTAACTATAGCAGTATTCTATTATTCCTAGCTCATTTTCCTTACAGACTAGGGGACTTATGTGGTGTTCAAACATCTCAAACATTTCTTCTAATTGTTCAGTCCTTCCAGCAGACAAACTGCAGCAAAAAGGGGGAAAAAATCTCCCCTCCTATCTTTTATATATATTCATGTGACCAACCCATGATCTCAGTTAAGTGCCACAACTGTTCATTAACACACATCACAGCCCCACAGTCAGCACTGCAAGCTTTGAAACCGTGCCAGAAGCAGAGGCTCAACAAATGGCACTTTGACCTTTTCACTACTAACTTCAATCTTTATTAAAATCTCTAAGACGTCAGCTCTGGCTCTCTCTTTTACCATCTTTTATCTGCTTCAGAAATACCTAATATTCATTCATTAAACGGGAAAGTTTGCTACATTCTTACGTAATGATAGATCCCATTTTCACTTGGATCGGCTGCTGAAATGCCTTTGATTAAAAAAGAAAAAGAAACGCACTCTCCCCTCGCCAAACAACTCTAAATTCAGATTGCTCACTCATTTCCAGGGAAATCAAGCATGGTGCCTAATATTAAAAAATCCTGCAGTGTCCAGGCAAATTCCGCTCCATTTTATGTCTCTCTTATTAAATTCCAACCCAGTAGCACATGAGATGCTCCCCCTGCTCTTTTCTTCCCATTCTAATTTCACATTGGCACCCTCGCACCATCCGCCTGGCTGTCCGTGTGGGGACAGAGACTCATTTTTTGCCCAGCAGGGTTTCCATTCCCAAAAACGAAGCCACCAAAACCGGTGGTCCCATGGAGTAAAATGGAACTAGAGACAAACACAGGCTTTGATCATTTTTATGGTGCTCAAACATAGGTGGGGGAGATAAATCATGTCTTTTTTTGTTAGGGTTTTTTTTTGGTGCAGTAGTAATTAACTAATTAGATGCTAAAGAAATAAAAACAACAAAAAGTTCACATGAGTCATTCATGTGTTTTCACTCTTTGTAATAATTCTGGCACACCCTGTGTGCCTCATTTCTTGCTTCAAATAAGTACTGGAAAATATGCATAGTATTTGGGACCACGGGGAATGACACACTGATTCAAAGTTTGCTTTGTCTAAGTTTGCATTTTCTAGATTTGAAATGCAAGTTTAAGTTTCAAGGAAACTTAAAACTTGCCTGCAACCTTTAATTTCTACCACCCTTCTCCCACGGATTATCTCTGGACATACAAGCTATTCATTTGGGCAGTGCCACACAGCATCATCATTAGGTGGCTTAGTTGCCTGGGATACTGCCCCAGCCCCACGCTGGGGAACCCGGGAAGCAGGAGCTCAAAGGGGGAAAAGTAAACAAAGTAATGAGTAACAGTTACAGCTCCTTAAATGTGTACATTAACCTGGGGATTGGGAAACTGTTTGCTTTCTAGAGGCAGTACCCTCCGATTGAAATAATGACAAATATTTTGGAAATTCCATCCGAAGCCAAAATGAAATTACTCAAGTGCACTCCGTGAGAACAAAGCTTTTTAGTATACCTTCAAATGAACTCAGGTAAATTTACAAATGGCCTATACCTAAAAGACCATTAACTGAAATTACATTTGTTTTTATTGAAAGACAGCCTCAAGTGCTGACATGTAATATATGACATGTGATACATAATAATACTCCTAAACCAGTTCTGACATAATATCTCCCAAGGCATAATAACCACAAATGACTGCTTTAGTTAAGAACTAGCCAGAAGCAAAATAGATCCATGTAAAAGTAGCTTTAACCATAAATACCTCAACAATATTTTATGTCACTTTGTAAAAAAGTTAAAGGAGACCCATAATAATTAACAACAAAAACTTCATGTTCTTTACTATTGTATGGTGGTTGTGAAAGGTTATTTCATAGTCCCGCAGCTGCCAATGCTGTAAATTATGCAGGCACCAAGAAGCATTAAGGAGAAATAATAGCAATTTAAACCAAGGCTGACGTAATTCATGATAAACAGTCACTGGAAAATATTACAATGTTGTCTTTTTTGAGCGGGTTTAATCAGAAGAATGTGACCATATTCTGACACAAACCACTTCTCCTTCTGCTCGCAGGGCGGGAGGCGGGCCCACTGCTCTACACCCAGCCCCGCAGCGCAGTCCCGTGGCCCCTGGGCACTGGGGCACAGAGCACTCACGTGAGGATGCTCTCACGAGTGCTCGTTCAAAATGATAATAACGACAGGAGAAGATGGCTCCAGCAATGCAACTGCACACCTAGACATCACGCTTATGCTTGTGATGAATGCGGCTTGGGTTGCTTTTGATGTAAGGGCAAAAAGTGATTTTGATGAGGGAAATATAAAACTAGCCACACAGCTGACATCGACCACCAGTCGGTGAATGGCCACCAAGAAAGCGGGCGCACGCAACACACAACAAAGCCCACGTGATAGTTTACATTCATCATGCACAGAAGAGTGGCACACTCCCTAAACCTGTTTTGCTGCAAGAACACATTCATCCTCTGCTGAACTCAGACTAAGGAAACACGCAACCCTCACAATACAATGTCATGTGTCCACTACTCAACCAAAACACAGAGAAGGAAAGGAGCCTTCCAAGCAAAAGCATTGGACTGAAGGTAGGAGCACCATCGCTCTGCCACGGAGGTCTCATCTCCCTCCCCACAATCACCCTGAGCCATGTCAATGCTGCCCAAGGCACCAGGCCAAGCCCCTGGCCATGCCTGGCCCCAGCAGCTGCAGCAGAAGATGGGGGCAGGAGGAAGAGGCACCCCCTTGCCCAACGCCCCATGTCTGCTGCCTGCAGGGATGGAGCAGCACTGAGCACCCCAGCTGTGCTGCAGAAGTAGGCCTTACAGGAGTTCTGACTCTGGTTTTATGGAGTGAGAAATAGTCTATCTTAGTATTTATCCTGGTTACAGCTGTGGCTGCTACTGAAAATGCACCAAAAAAAAAAAAAAAAAAAAAAAAAGGTAAAAATAAAACAGCATTTGTTTTGAAGTTCTTACAGACAGGAAGGTATTCTATCTTACTTTACCACACATTACTTATGCTCACTTAGCAGCTTGCTGTTAACGTTGGGTGAGATTCTGCCCTTAGTTAACTGGTGAAAACCTGAGTAACATTTGGTGAAGCAAAGGCAGTCATTCTGGATTTACACCGCTCTCAGTGAGACAGAATGTGACCCCTTATCGGTGCTTTTTGCTTTGAGTATACAAATATTTTATGCATTTCAATGAGTGACAGAATGCAAAACTTGCAAATATTTATTTTTAGATGTATGGGGGAAAAGCAATTAGAGCTAAAAATGTTAAGAATGAAGAAATCACTTAACAGAAGCAATTATGTTGAGCATATAAACAGCTCTGCCTTCAGACATTTTATTCAAATGCTGCAGAGCACACTAGAAAATATCAATTGTTTAAAAAAACTGCAAGTATTTTTTCACAACTGAAAAATCAATCATTATAAACAACATCTGGGGATCATTAATATCTCGCTCCACAGTTGAATTAACAAAATAAGAAAGAGGTCTGACCAGAATCCAGAACATTTCCAGATTTTCTTTTTCAGGCTAAAAGCTTATGTTTGCAGAGGTGGGGCGTGAGGGGGAGGAAATGTACATTTATCTATCTACATTGTATATAGCACTATTATACATTAATCACTACTTCCCCTCCAGCTACGTCCTGTTTTT